TGTTAAAAAATTCCACTACTTCATTTTCATTTTTTATTGCCACTCGTACCGCTTACAATACTTCTTATAAAATATGATTACTTACGCCACTTACAATACTAATACTACTCACAACACTCATAATGACATGCAAAGTTCAAATACGTAACAACAATGCAGTTTTCTCGACTAGCTGAGCATTCTTGGCACTAGTTACGTAATAGCTCTGCAGTAAATACCGAGACTACTTGTTCACTCCATTCGTGCTCGGTTTTCCACCCGGTTTTCCAGCGGAGCGCTGATCAGGGAACGGCCCACCCTCCCACCTTCATCGTGTGGGTCGTACGTCGTACCGCTAGACTCGACCTCCCCGGCCTAAGCCAAGCTGTTCATCTTGGGTAAGTCCGCTGGTCAATCATTATTCCCATATCTTATTTCAACTGAGTATGAATGAGAGTGTTGTGAAATGGAATACTACTAATACTAGTCACTCACTACCCAATTCGTGTTTCGTTTCTCACAGCTATGGAGCAATGGTTCAAAGGAGGAGCCGAGTCCAAGCAAAATGACTTTAGAAATGCGTTAAGTTTCTACATTAAAGGAATAGNGTTGGCGACGACAGTTTGAGAGATGCCGAAACCTGACACCAATATAATGAAAAAATTGCATGATTGGCCTCCCACCTTCATCGCGTGGGTCGTACCGCTAGACTCGACCTTCCCTAAGCCAAGCTGTTCATCTTGGCTTAGTCCGCTGGTCGATTATTATTCCCATATCTTATTTCAACTGAGTATGAATGAGAGTGTTGTGAAAGAAAGAAGACTACCAATACTAATCACTCACTACCCAATTCGTGTTTCGTTTCTCACAGCTGTGGAGCAATGGTTCAAAGGAGGAGCCGAGTCCAAGCAAAATGACTTTAGAAATGCGTTAAGTTTCTACATTAAAGGAATAGACATGAACTGTAAAGATGACGGACTGAACATCAATCTTTACAGCCAAAGGGCAGACCTGCAGTGTTTTCCGGGTGAGTTTACAAGGCTACATATCTTTTCCAGCTTAGTTAAATTTACCAACTTCTAGATATAAATTTCCCAATTTGTAAATTGTTGTATACGCACTTCGTTTTAGTTTGGAGAATTTGTTGATATATCATTCGATGAGTTTCTTTATTCTCCTCATCTGCCTGCTTGACTGAGCATCAGTTCTGTAAGAAGAAAACAGGTATTAATCACCTTTCACTAATTTATATATATATATCTGATGTAATTCACAAAATCTTAATTTTGTAGCACTTTTAAATACAATTACATCCTCGATTTCTTCAGCTTTGACTGAACAAAACCGAACGAAAAAGTATCACTAAAACTCAGAAACTAGAAACTTTAAACACCTTACGGTCCTGTAATTCTGCATACAAATAAGTCTTGTTGTTATTGTTGTTGTTTTCGTTGAGTAGCGAGATTTTTTATTTTTGAGTTGAGTTTTGAGTAGTAAGATGTTAACAGTAAGATGTTTTAACTGCCGTTATCACCTAATTTCCACAGGTAATTCACGGGAAGAACACAAGGGTAAAAATCGCGCAGAAGAATTGGGACAAGATTTCTTCATAGGTAAATCAAACTTCTGTCTGAGTTTTTACCTTTTATGTAGACTATAAACCTTCTGCATGTTTCCTATTTTTTTAGTTTTTTTGTTTCTGCATTTCAAAGAAACTTCATTAGTAACACAGTTGAATCGGCAGCGGGTTGTTACACTCGTCACTTTGAGGACTGAAACTAATAAATTTATTTAGCTAGATTGCCATCAGGGTTTTCTAAAACCATGAATTGAAATATCCTAAAATTATCAGGACAGAAAAGACTGATATAGATTTGTTTTGCACCATTAGAACCATTTGACCAGAATGAACAACAATTGATGCAAGACATGAGTCTGAGCGCTTCACAACAACTTNTAGTTTGGAGAATTTGTTGATATATCATTCGATGAGTTTCTTTATTCTCCTCATCTGCCTGCTTGACTGAACATCAGTTCTGTAAGAAGAAAACAGGTATTAATCACCTTTCACTAATTTATATATATCTGATGTAATTCACAAAATCTTAATTTTGTAGCACTTTTAAATACAATTACATCCTCGATTTCTTCAGCTTTGACTGAACAAAACCGAACAGAAAAGTATCAGTGAAACACAGCAGCTAGAATCTTTAAACACCTTGCGGTCTTGTAATGCTGCATACAAATAAGTCTTGTTGTTATTGTTGTTGTTGTTGTCGTTGAGTAGCGAGATTTTTTACTTTTAAGTTGAGTTTTGAGTAGTAAGATGTTAACAGTAAGACGTTTTAACTGCCGTTATTACCTAATTTCCACAGGTAATTCACGTGAAGAACACAAGGGTAAAAGTGGCGCAGAAGAATTGGGACAAGATTTCTTCATAGGTAAATCAAACTTCTGTCTGAGTTTTTACCTCTTATGTAGACTATAAACCTCCTGCATGTTTCCTATTTTTTAGTTTTTTGTTTCTGCATTTCAAAGAAACTTCATTAGTAAAACAGTTGAATCGGCAGCGGGTTGCTCGTCATTTTCAAGTTAC